GTTGGATGAGTTCGTTACGTGAGAGCTGCCATACTTTGGCTGGGACCAGTAGTCACTCTACTGTGCTAGCTGCTAGGGGTCTGCGCAACAGAGCGGCAGTGATGTATATCGACAGGCAACTGATGCTCGCTTACCGCCGCCCGTCAGACCACCCCGACGTCAGACCTGCCAGGCACATTATCTCTCGCTATTGTTCAGCCCGTGTACCTGGACTGGACCATGCAACTTTGCGCTGTTTAAGACTTTCGACATGACTTAATAAGATTTGCGCAGGCAACAGACATTTGGTACGGAATCTTGTGGAAAAACACGTAGGATTTGAGGGTCTCGTGGCGAAGAATGTGAAGTTTACAGAATTGTCGCCCGTCGCCCTGATGATGGCGGCAGCAAGGACCTCTAAAACGTCGGTAAACGTTTACCCAGAAGACAACCGCATTCACATGTTGTCTGGTGGGAACCGATCTACGTTACAGAGGTGCCGACTGCCTCCATCATCAGGGCGATGAAGGACAGAGAGATAAATTGCAGAATTACTTATTTTTGTAAACACTGGGGCTCGGACCAATAATTCAACGAACATCAAGACTGGAATTATACAAAACAATGACTGATCTGACCTGCTTTTTTTAAAATTTGGATAATGATAAGTACATACATACACATGAAAAGCGACCAATTGAAAAACCAAGAAACAGATGACAAGATATTAGTCTCAGAAAACTTCCATGGGTTAGTCTACGCGAGTGCGCCCAAAACCTCTTTGCCGTGTTCAAAATAGCCACACCCCCCTCACGCCTATACTATTTCAGGTCCATTTTAATATTATCCTCCCATCTACTCTTTTTATTCCAATGGGGTCTTTCGTTTGAGGATCTCGTCTACTCTTGGTGACACATTTCCTACATTACAGCGGCGTCAGCTTACAATGTAACAGGAATCAGCTTAGATTTTGTAACTTCTGACTATTTTACTAGTCACAAAAACATCTGTTGGGTCATAGATGCGCTTTTAAACGTCAGGGCACGACCGACAATTTTAAGGGAGAAGCTGCTGGTGTCTTATCCAGGGAAGAAACGGATAGAATTGCCTTAATAAAAGGCGCTGAAGGTTCTGCATGTCAGAAGCACGGAGCATCAAACATGATCACCGAGACGTGAAACAATAACAACTTTGTGTGAACACCAACCGTACTAAATTCGATAGCTCGAACTCACAGGGCTTCTAGCTACTGTCACTGGATCCCTCTGAAGCGAATTCACAGACCAACAGACTGTACCATAAGAGTCGTCACGTTCTACTCGAGGCCTTCAACAGTAATCGAAGGCAAACATAAATGTGGAAATTCTGACCCGTCAAGAGACTTTAACGTTGTCCTCACGCGAATGTCAAATGCGTCTTCCTCTCCGGACTTTTGACTAAAAATTTTAATTTATTCTAAATAAACATGAATCGGGAAACTGGCTAGGGAAAATAAGGCACAGATATGATAATATTAAAATAGATATTAAGGAAGTCTCATCTGATTCATGATGGGGTCCAGTGACGGGCTCTTGTGAACAAAATAAATAGACCTACGGGTTCCATAAAATTCGGGGGATTATTTGAGTAGCTCAGAGTACTATTAGCTAGTAGGACCATGACATTTTAAGCTGAATTACGAGTCACTCGGCTTGCTTGAACGCCAAAGAAGAGGACCACCTCTTTTCGGTTGTCCCCAGCATATTCGCGTCTCTCGTACATCCACACTGTTGACGTTCCGTTAGTTAATTGGTCTGTCAGGTAGTTACTTGTTTTACTGAACAGCGTGCTAGAACTGCCAGTCGCGCGTCAACAGGACCTGGGGGGAGCCACATTTTTTGTATTCTCTGATCTTCGGATCATTCTGTAGTTCCTGCATCACCTGGGTTCGTCCATTAATCTTGTGTCGCACAAAGGGATGCCTCCTCCCGCCGCCGGGGATATTACACCAATTTGTCAGCCACTCGAGAGTCAAACTGAGCCGACATCACATTGGGGGGAGAGAAATCGTCCGATGGGCTTACGCTTTGTAAAGCAATAAAATTCGCATCCAAACTAACTTTTCATTGACAAACGTAAAATTAAACACTTGAGATGAAAAAAAAGAGGCCTACGGATCTCGTCTTCTAAATCTGACAGCTGCTCACCTCGTCTAGAAACGTCACTCCTTGTTTTGAAACCCAGATGTTCATCACAGCGATCATATCAGCCCTGTCGGTAGGTCCCCGGGTTCAAATCTCGGCGAGGTGACAGGTTATTTTGGTCGAGGGCTTTTCGTGGTTTTCCTCAGACTCTCTAGGCAAAGCATGTCTCATGCTACCAGTCTCAGTTCTTAAATTATACACGATATGCGGCCCACAGATTTCCTGTTGTATTTCTTCTTAAAATTCGTGTTCATACCAATCCTAACCTTCCTTCCATAAACGTCTAGCTACACCAAGAATTCTCTTTCATTGAGACGTTTTTGACTAAAATCCTGTATGCATCTAATTTCCCCCCACGTCTTCCTTAATACGATTTATAACGAAGTAAAATGATTATTTCAGATTATGGTAGTTTCCAGTTAAATATCTTTCAACAATTGACTCGCGTCTCGATTGGAAAAACTGCTGCAGTCTTAGTAATCTCTGACTCCAGTCTTAGAGATTACTAAGACTGGAGCCAGAGATTACTAAGACTGGAGCCAGAGATTACTAAGACTGGAGCCAGAGATTACTAAGACTGGAGCCAGAGATTACTAAGACTGGAGCCAGAGATTACTAAGACTGGAGCCAGAGATTACTAAGACTGGAGCCAGAGATTACTAAGACTGGAGCCAGAGATTACTAAGACTGGAGCCAGAGATTACTAAGACTGGAGCCAGAGATTACTAAGACTGGAGCCAGAGATTACTAAGACTGGAGCCAGAGATTACTAAGACTGGAGCCAGAGATTACTAAGACTGGAGCCAGAGATTACTAAGACTGGAGCCAGAGATTACTAAGACTGGAGCCAGAGATTACTAAGACTGGAGTTAGAGAATACTAAGACTAAGTATTCTCTAACTCCAGTCTTAGTAATCTCTGACTCCACAGATAAAATGACGCGAGCACAACAATGGACTCTCTGCACGAAGTTTCTTGCTGAGTAAATGTCGATCTGACAGCCACTGTACACGTCATGTAGAGGTCTGCTCCCCAATTACAGCTCGAATTCAAAAGGAAGATATCGAACTAATCTAACACGGAGCATGGCAAGTCAGCACTCCTTTGTAGCCGCTCGAGTTAGTACATCAGACCCTAGCTTTGTCGTGCGTTATGAAGGGGTAAAGCGAGTTTTATTACCAGCTGTAAAGCATTGTTCGGACGTGAATCTTCATTGTGAACTTCTGTGTAATGAACTGGGTCATTTTTCTTACAGCACACAATATGGTCATTCTAGATTCATTTTCATTGCGTGAAATGCAAAAAAAAATGAAAGCGTAAGTCATTTATTATCGCCCTAACAATTGTTGTGAACATCTTGCTGAAATTATCTTTGCTTCGAGATTCGAAATGAAACCCCGTTGAAGCTAGACGGACAATAAAGATTGACATTTCAGGTTCTGACGGATGTTAACCGACGTTTCAGAGGTGCTTTCTACCTCTATCATTAGGGTAATGACTCAGGACGTGGCTGAAGGCAAGAGGTTACTTAATTATAGAAAAAATGCCAGTTAAAGTTAGGAAGAGTAAACAACCGACATTTTGTCATGAAAAGACAACATCATAAATATTTCCTGCCCCTTGTCGGGAAAGTGACTTCACTGTCATTGTGGATTCTTCGACAGACAGAAGAGTTCCAAGTTCCAAACAAAGATGCATTATTGACTTGTGTGGATTTAAAATCTTTAGAAAACTTTCAATAAACGATGAAGCTGGAGTTTGCAGAAACATTTTCCTCGACACGCAACGCCTTTGATAAAATAATAACGTAAAATGTCACGGCGACAATCACGAGACAGGAGACAGAAGACCTCGCACATGTAACAAATTAATAGTTAAAACGTTGAACTCCCAAGCTAATATAAACAACATTTAAAAATCAAATCCCTACAATACAGAAAACATAACTGGTCTCCATGACAACGATCAGTTGGTTAATGCAGTTTATATAAATAATCGCTGTTTATTCTGACAGTTATAAGAATCCCATGTATGTTACTAAATGTTAAAGCAAGCTTATTTGGTGATATACCTAGCGCTGAGTTTAAAACTTCAAATAAGTAACCTAACCTAACAAAATCTCTCATACCGACAGCCTTTATAGTAACTAGGATAAACGATCCGGGTTCGATTCCCATCAATAAAATATATTTATTTCTACGACAACGTAGTTTATAGCTCTGGGGTCTACCCACCTCTAATCCAGTGTGTACTGGGGTGCTTCTCGGGGGGGGGGGGGGGGGGGGTTGAACTGAAAGTAACCACTCTCATCCTAGCACAGGTAAAGAATGCGTGGAACTATACCTCCATTTTCCCATATTAATGCGTTGTACTTGATAAACACCACGGAGAAATTTACTTTTATTTTAAAAGTGTAGTTTCCAGACTGAAATCTACCCTCTTACGACTTCTACTTTACAATGTACAGCTTTGAAATTAATATTTTGGATTTCTGCGCTGTGCGACCGACCTGCCGACACAGGGCAGACGCCCACGTCTTCAAAGTCGTCTGGTCTCTGCTTGTCGTCCCCAAAATCACATGCGTTCGCTGGTTCAGAATCGTTAAGCGTTTTAGTGCATTTTTAAAATAAACACAGCGCTTTTATGACGTGGAACAACATTCATTTGTAAGGCTTGTTTATAAAATAATAAACTTTCGACATGTTTGTTTGAAACTGTCAAACAGTTTCTGCTGTGTACAGATAGAGCTTCTGACTTCTAGGGAAGCACTCATTTTGACTACATGATATTCGGATGACGTATAGAGCACCATCACAATCTTTTTTTATATATACTTACAAGATCTGTAACCACCAAATGGTTCGTTCAGTCTGGTTCTTTGGTGCAGGGCGGCTTTCACATAAAGAATCTCGTACATCACGAGCTGAGCTCCAGAAATAAGATCGCCCTTTCTTCCAAGGACGAGTTAACGTAGACCTGCGGCCATTAGAAGGTTCTGGAAATAAATTAAGGTCTAAAAGTTATGCCTAGTTTTCGCTTTCAACTTAGGAAGTTTGATATGTGTACAGTAACAATTTTAAACACAAAAACTTATCTACGTAACATTTAAAAATTAAGTTTTTACCTCAACGGAAACAACACGTATCCATGACAACGATCAACTGGAAATTATTTATACGAAATCCACAAAACTCTTTGGCAAAATTAAAAATTTCTTGTTTTTAAAGCAGATGGTATATATAATTACCACTGAGCTTTAAAGGGATTAATATCACGGCTGTGTTTTTAAATACTTGTTATTATGGAGTGCTGCTTTCGCCATGGTAGTAACCTAATCGCTGTTTACAAATGGTAAAAATAATTTATGTAATTAACAGTGAATATAAGTGTAATCTCACACAGTCGACCAGCCTTTGATTTAATTCGCGTGGCGTTTAAAAAAGACGTTCACAGCGCGTGGTTTTTGTTTTTCTGTGCAATTATGCTTTGTTTTATAAAGTTTGAATTTAGAAACTCGGTCTGCGTCACCCAGACAGACTCAATATTTCGCGTGTGCCGATTATATCCTGGTCTAAACCATGGATGCTATGGACAGGACATGTAGAACGCATGGGGAGATTGAAATATAAACAATTTTTTACTTATATAATCGCCCTGATGACGGAAGAAATGTCGGTCGGTATCTACCTGCTACAATTAACATGGCTTAGAGTCCCAGAATATCGCCTTCTTCATTTCTTTGGATACTTATGACACCCCCAATCTTCAGACTTTGTAACTGAAGTACATTTTTGCTTTCAGGTTAGTGACAAACTGACAGAAGAAGTTCTTTTGCTGTTATAAACAAGCCCTTCTGTGTTGTCTAAAAATCAATCCCTTGCAGAACTTACGGGCTTTTCAAATTTTATTACTGGTTGTAAAGGGACCGACTGTCATAAACTAGTAAAGGAACATAAAAATTTTAAGGGAAAGTCCAAGGCTGTTCAGGGTAACAGCCATTTATAGGAGAAAATAGGGCCGTAAACAATTCCTGGTGACCAGTCAGCTAAGTTACCATTTGTCAATGGTTGAGTGAGAGGGCCTGTAAAGAAACCTTGGCCTTCAGTGTTTGTTAATTGTTAATAGACATTCCTAAAAAAAACTGAAAATTATTCTGTTACAATTTGATGAGATTTAATTTCTTTATATCTCCTATGTATTAACGCCGTGTGAACATGTAGATAGGTAGACGTTTCGAAGGAACAAACTGCCTCCATCTTCAGGGCTGAAAACAGCCTGAAATAACTTGTTTTTGTATTTCCCTACGAGGGAAATAGTTTGTGATGGTGTGATGTGGATTCATCTGGCTCAAGATACGGACCGGTGGCGGGTATTTGTAAACACGGTAATGAATTTTTATTCCGCCCTCCAAAAAAAAAGGTTTTGACGTCTAATTTCTTCATTTTATCAACATTTTAGCCTACTCTGCTCCATTTGGTTATATTAACAATAATTACTGAACGTTTGTAACCTGGCATTTGCCGTCTTATCTTCGTTTTTCAAATAAACCGAGAATGAAAAACCTCCCTTATTATTTAAGGTAGAGCCCTTAATAATATTGCCATCTACTGTAGAACACTGACAGAAAATGTCTGTTACAAACAGAAAGAAACTTCTTCGTGGCTGTGAAACAGTGAGAAGAAAAAACGTGTCCATCACGGATAGTACGACCTATAAAATGTGATTTACTGGCGAGAAATATATTAAGTCCGTGCCACGCCTCTTGGCAATAAAACAAGCCATTCATGTGTCACATCGCCCATTGTGTTCCAGTGACCAGCTGCCATGGCATTTCGTGGCGGAATGCCCATCGTAATTCATTAAATTGGACGTATTCTGACCCCTTCTGCGAGTCTCATTAAGTGCTAATATGCACATCGCAGTAGGGACTCCGCTCCATACAATTTATAATTCATTTTACAAAGTACTGTATATATATATATTTTTTATTTTTTTATTTTGTATTATTGAATATGACATCCGTCTCTTTCTTGACTGGGAAAAGAAATGTCAGTGCTTTGTACGAGTGGAAATAATTGTATAATTGCATTTTGTACTCCGAATCGCCCACCTGACTGGGGGTCCATTTGTTAACAATGCGGTAGGGTTGGTACGAAACAGGCATGAAGCCCTTTTTTTTCGACTACACTTATTTCTTCTCGCTTCTACACCCCTTTACAAACCTCCAGGCCAAAATAAGAACCGTTAAACATTTTTTCCTTCACCTTTTTATGATTTCATTATAACATAACAGTTTCCAGTTCCCCAATTTCAGAATCTGTACTGCACCCCAAAATAAGGCGTGCGAAAATTATCTGAGAAATCGTGAGTTTTTATTCAGTAAATTCAGTCACACCAACATCTGGCCGTAAAACACCCCTAGGGAGATAACGCGAACAAAAGGTCTTGAACCCTTTGCAAAACTGAAAAGACTATTCCCCCTTCCCCGTTGCGCTCTCAGGGAGCGCCACCTAGCTGGAAGTCAGGATGGACTGTCAACAAATCATCAACGCGTCGCACCCGCGGTGACATCAGCATTCACGAATCTCCACGTGTGTCGAACTCCTTAGTGACTCACGAGAATGAATAAGCAGACGCTACCGACCGTTCCGTTCATCCTACAACAGACATCACCATAGCAACGCAAAGTATTCTTTTTTTTTTTTTACGAATTCATAAAACGGATGTGTAACCGAGAGGTTGTATTCTCACGTAGGTTTAGGGCAATTATCTTCGTCCTTTACTTTTTACTGCACGGGTTTTTCTATTAAATTTCGTATCGGAGGCGTATATTCAAAACTTGTAAATTCGAAATGTATAGATTTTCTTAAAAAATTGCTCATAATGCGAAAAATTAGCAAACGCTATAAAATAAATAATACGCTGAACTTCTGTCTGGGACACAGTTAATATTTAACTAAATACAAGGAAAACTACTTAATTTATGTGTTTACCTATGTATTTGAAATGACAGATTGACATAAGAGAGGAGATTAGATGATTCCATGAATTTGCATAGTTGTCGAAGACCCTAGCGTTAAAAACAGAAGAAGGTCCCAAAATAGGCTGGAAGTAATTTCTCACACACGATATTCAACCTTCTTAAACGACACTGTTCCTTCTGACACACTGAATATGGAGGCCGCAAGAGACCCGAACTAAGACTACTCAACAACGATGTTTTGATTCTGTTAATACAGCGTATCACGCGAACAACTCACTGAGATATTAAATCTGAAAATTCTTGACAATGGTGATGAGTCATTAGAATAAAAATTTTCTTGGATATTATCCATCGTCTAGTAAATAAAATATAAAACGTAAAACGACGTTTCGGAGATGGGGCTCTATCTCCGAAACGTCGTTTTACGTATTATATTTTATTTACTAGATAATGGATAATATCCAAGAACATTTTTATTCTAATAACTCACTGAGATTACAAAATTTCCCTGCGATAATAATATTTATCCATCCATTTATTCAGCATATCCAGCGACATATAACAATACTCATCAATTAATATTAATTCTTTCAAGTACGTTGACGCTAGTCGATTGAACCCAAGCAGGACAAGGGGTCAGTGCGAGCGACTTTGACACCCAGGGCACGCACACCTGTCACTACGATCGTCAGATGTCTCCGTAATGATCATGATGCATGTACCAGTCAGTGTCCGGGGTGTTAATGATCCTTCAGACAGGCCAGTAAACAGAAAGTTGGATGACTTTACACTTTTTGTTTTGAAAACAACCCCTCATCAAGTTTGCCTGCTACAAGGTACGCACCCTTTAACCCCCCCCCCCCCCCCCTGTAAATCCCCATGTTCATGTTAACCGTATCAAGTAATGGGCTCGCATACAGGAGGCAATGGAGCGGATCATGGCAGCATCCGGCCTCTGCCTTCCCCGATTTCGACACCTTCCTCAAGCATCAAATCTCGAATTGGCGATATCTGATGCAAGTAACGCTTTGCAGACTTAATTCTTTCCTGTCGATTCTGGTCCTTCCGAGTTTCAGACGCAGAACCAAGTGAACAGATGTTTATGAAATCATGTATCGGGAAATTCTATCAAATGGTAGTGTAATGACACTTCGCGTGAGGACCTACGATGTTTTTCTGAGCGCGGACGAAACTGTGTGTGGGGGAATCCCCAAGCGACCTTGGGTTCAAATTACCAAAAGGAATCCCCCAAGCACTCATACAACTGTTGACATAAATAGCGTCTTTTGCAAGGCCAAACTTTCTAGATTTCTTTTTCTTACTTGTTTGTCTTCAGCTCGACAACGGCACAAGTCTCAAGCGAAGGTCAGACCACAAGTGGGAGGACTAACTAACTAACTAGATGGCTTACCGAACCCGATGGTTCATCACCGAATTAACCAAAGCCCTCCACCGGACCCTGTCCTGGGCCAACAAAATCCAGTCTCCTTCGACTCCTATCTCCCATAGATCCCGCCTGAGACCATTGGGAGGACTGTCTTCCCAAATTCAAGGGCGAAACGGGAATCTGTTCTCGAAGTACCAGCTCGCGGTCGTGTTTAAAGGCAGGGTTTCGTGAACGCACTAATGAACCTCAGGTTCCACTAGGAACGGAATTTCTTAGGTATCAACATTTCAAGAAAGACATTCAGCACAAAGCAACTTACTACATCCTTCCGCCAGACAGTGAGGCTACTCGTATTTCATCTTACTCAAAAGACCAGCAATTTCACAACTGCCACAGTCGAGGCTGATTATACGGCTTCAATATACTTCGTGTTTTGCCGCCCAGGACGTATAATGCGCAATGCGAAGATGACGGGCCCGGGGTGGGGTGGGGGGTCCTAACACGCCTCTGGATAAGACAAAGCCAAAGGCGCAAAAAACCGGCCTCTGGCTAATCACGTCCGTGCTTCCATTTTCTCAGAACAAAGGAACACGGTCCGGTTCCCATGACTCCCAAGAGAAACAAACAATACGGCGATGTGACTTATCCGTTAGCCTGTATTATCACAAAAAAAACTTTCTTCAGAGGCTAAGTCCCCCTGTCCCCTTAAAGGGGGAAGAATGCAAATAAGTTAAAACTGTTTGCACAAATCCCCTTTCACGGTATCAATTAGATTATTTACACCTTTTGTTTATACAGCGAGATCCTTTATATCTGTCTTCATCGAGTCTTTGTGTACGACGGGCAACATTAACACCGGCTGACAAGAACCGAAACCCTGTCACTACCGCCATTCGAAGGCTTTTTCTCTACGTCGTCCCTTCTAATGGGCTTGGTGACAGTCGTAACATGTGTTTATGCAGCTCACGCACTTCTGTTTTCGTTTGTCACGTCGTGTGCCTCGATTCTGGAAGGGTTTCCAAGCCTTCCAGAGACACGCATTCGTTTCTGCATTTCCTCCCATGACCTGCGCCATTTTTTTAAACCAAGTACATAAACCGGAGCGTAATGCACGTGTGATGGCTTCACACGGGCGTCAAACTTATACATGTCTCTAACGACTGTAGACAGGAAGTGGTAACTATATGTACCACCCGCGTTAACGATACGCAGACGGTTTTGATTAGTGATGATTTTTAAAATGAACGATAATTTCCTCAAATACCGTTAACCAGCTGATATCGGCGTGTGATGTTTTCTTTGAGGTACGACTTAAGAGTTTCGTAACTTATAATTTTCATTTCATGCGATTAACTCGAGAAGAATAAACTGGATGACACAAGAAATGCACAAAGTATTTTGGTCAAGAAACCACTACGGACACCAAGGAGTAGACGAAAAGATATTATTAAAGTAGATATTAACATGGACAGCAATGGAAAGGAGCTTATGAATGATGAATAGGTAAGAATTTTGAAGGTTTGTGAACTAGTACTAAAAATGAGAGCCTAACATTCGCCTAAAGTCACTGAGATAACCCACGATAAAACAATTCACTTATGACGGATTAATACGTGTGTTAAAATCCTTCCTTTGCTGTACTTCACTTTTTAAAAAGACGCCCTCGAATTGAAATCCTTAGTAGTCTATGTTACAGCACCTTCAGTGAGTTAGTTGACGAAGCCTTTTGAACTTCGGCTAGTGTAAACAAGACACTTACTTGACTTCAAACCTATTTATCTGGCTTTGTAAATAGAGCAACAATATAAGTGTCAACCTAAGGTAAACACAATACGCATGCAGAACAATATTCCTGGGGTCCCAGTTCCCTCGGAGCGTAAAAATGGTGATAAATCCACACAGTGGTATGCGTCTTAGAACCAGATGACATATCGGTTTTATCCGTGCAAAAACATCGCCTATTCTTTAGAATTTACACATCTATCTGACTGGTGACGTGTCCTTTTCGCTTCGCACCAAAGTTGTACCTCAAAAAATATAAAAGCTAGGGAGTGAAACCACTTCTGTGAATTGAGTAACTGAAGTGGAAATATCAAGACGTAACAGAGATGTTAAACACCAGAAAATGTCTCATGTTCAAATATCTTCCGGGCAACCGTTCTCACGTCTGAAAGGCTGCCTGCCTGCCCACCAATCCTTGCCAAGTTGGTCTTGTGACTGCGTAAGAAATCGAACTGAACAAAGCTCTATAAACCCTGCCTTCACCTGTCTTCTACGTTGAAGATGCAGACGAATAGTTCCTCCGAAACGTCCGTAACTACCTACACGGCGTCACAGTCATATCATAAACAGGAGATTTGATTAGATTTAGGTTGTGGCATCGGTGCTTTAAAAATCGCGTGTTACCACATTAGTTGATTTACGTCAGAGTCATAAATCAGATCAGGAACATTTTCTCCACGTGCCACAGGCGATACGCAAATAAGCCGTAAACAGTTGCCATGACGATGTAGGCTACAAGATTGGAGAAAGTTTGCCGTTTGGTATTTTTGTAGTTGGAAGGGAAAGTCGAGGGGCCTGTGACAGAAATACCTTCATGCTCTTTAGAAATCTCAAGCTGTGGACGCATTAACAGGTCTAAGTCGGCGGTAAAGTGATTGATCGTGGTTTCGGGCGAGGCTACGGACACACTGCTATAAAGTTCTACCTGATCTTGTCCTTGCAGACTGAGTGGCTTCCATACGGCGTCCACAGTCTACGAACACGTCGCCCTGAGAACCTAAAATCCCAACCAAAGTCTATATGTAGAAAGAATAAAGGATTTACTGAGCGCCTCGCTATAAACGCGAGTGAAGGCGTCGATGCAAACACTTCAAGAAAAGAAGAACAATGAACTTCAAGCTCTGGCCTTCTTTCTCACACAATTTTTGAATTGTTAGTACCTGCTTCGTATTTGGAAGATCGCGGGTTCGAGTCTACGCGGGAAGACAGGCTAAGACGACACACGGTTTTCCGTGATTTTTCCCGGTCATTCAACTCACGTGCTGGAATGTTTGGTTCATCTCAAGACAGCCCACGAAAGCTTCCTTTTACCTCATTAGTCATAATTAACGTTCCCATACGACGCTTTTATAAACTCTGTATTACACAGTATCGCTAGCTTAGAAAAAACTTGTGTTTACATGTACCAACTACTTTAACAATCAGGATTTCTGTAGTTTGCCTATAGAATGTACGATTCTCGTCCAGACCGGCTCTGGGGTACACCCTGTCTCCTGTCCCATAGGTACCGGGGTCCTTTCCCGGGGGTAAAATTCGGCCAGGGCGTGACGAGGTTAAGAATGAGTACGAGCTGTGAATCCCAGGCACAACGATGTAATGCTGTCCGTTTTCCAGGTGCACCTGAGGTCGCATTTCATAATGAACGGGGTTTGTGTGAGGTGGCGCGGGTGGATCGACCTGGAGCGTCTGGACGGCGTCGGATGCCTGGAATACGACGAGGACAAAGCGCAGGTACGTCGATCAGAAGCCCGTATACTTTGAAGTTAAGTCTATTTGTCTGTTGTCTTTTTCCTACTTCTACTGAGCCAAAACTTTCACCTACAAGCCCACAGAAGCTTCACAGTGGCCACTATAAGCTATTTTGCCACATTAGGTCATACTTTCAGTGCCTATTGGGAGAATATTAATTTGCATAGTAAAGATTTACGTCATAAAACATTACCCTGTTTCATGTTTCAAAGTTTCTCCAAGACTGATCCTAAAATTAACTTCCACTAAACTAACTTGTGTTGGGCAAGGCCGTGGTCTAGGCAACATGGAGTTTTCCTCCGGGGGCTTCCCCGGTTTCTCCATTCACACACAGAAGAAGGCAATGGCAAACCACTTCTGGATCATCTGCCAAGAACGTATATGAACAGGTCCCAGTCCGAGAAAAGGGTGGAAGGATCCTGTTCATATGGACCTGTCGTCAGACAGAACACTAAATAAATAAATAATAAACTAATACCTTACATTTTTTTCTCGTCTCAGATGGAAGATTCCATGCTGAGAGACCAGATTGAACGCTATAACCAGAGATTACGAGATTTCGAGGAGAAGCAGAGAGCATATCGCCAGCATCAGGAGCGTCCAACAGATCCCGATCTGGAGGTGAGAAGCTGACGACAGTCAGACATCTATACTAGGATTCAAATATGAAGGCGGTTCGATGAACATTGGTCGCGCAGAGATAGAGTTGCAGTAACACAGCAGACAGACATATTTCGCTTTTGAAATAATCCCCGTCTGTTCCAAACGGCATTACTCGGGGTCTTCACTACTATTACTCGAAGTATTGATGTCTATTGACCACCTAGGAGCTGCTTGTTGGGGGAGGAGACCTCCCTCCGGGCGTGACCCCCTATGTTTGAACTTTTGTTTATGAAACAACACGTCTATACAGCCCCTGGCGTTAAACATTTAAACTAGTCCTATTATCAGAACAAAGAAACAAAAGAGAGTTGTCGTACGCTGTTAGTCATTACGGATTCTCCACTCTGTGGGTGGGTTTATGCCTAAAGTTCATTTGCTATGGCGTCAATTAGCGAAATTGGACCTTATGGAAAATTTAAACAAGCCGGGTTGAATGGGGCGCCGTGGGGCGAGGTGCTATTCAGTGTAGGCGTCAGAGGGGCCATGAAGATCATTTCTCTTTCTTTTGAAATAGAATCTGGAGCCTGGAGGCACAGAAGACTCACAAAGAAGGGGTGGGGATTAGGCACAGTCCCACTGTAAGTACATAATCTGAGATTGTGTTCCACGAACAGTTTCAGAAGTGTAAAGAAGCCTCCAGCAACATAACTCAGGGTGCAGCGCTGTTCCTTCCCTGGATCAACCAACGCCACACGTGACACCGACATAGGTCAGTTTGGGGTTAACTGTTTAATCGAAAATTGTTTCATTTCGTTTCGGTCGAGTTATTAAGCGTTTTACTTTGTATTCGCTTTCAAATCTCACCCCTGAGACCGGATGTCCTTGTAAGGTTTCTCGTGATTTTCCGCAGTTCCAGATAAATGTAGCTACAGTAACTTAAATTAAGCCATGACCACTTCCTTTCACATCCTTTCGCATAATTCATAATTACCGTCATTCGAAGTCTGAGTTACTGAAAGCATCGTTAAATAGATAAATGAAGGAGACTTGCGTTGCACAACAAATATTGTTAGCCTTGTAAGACAGAAATCTTCATTGTTAGCCTTTTTTTGCATATTAATTGAATTTCATAACAGCAAAGTTGTAGCTTTGCTTAATTAAACAGCACGCCGTGAGGATGGCACTAGATCAGGGGTGGCCAACCCGCGGGCCGCATGTGGCCCGCCTTGAACATTTTTCCGGCCCGCGAGATTCATCACACTTTTACAAAGTATATTTATTTTATAATGGCCAAAGTAGTGAAAACCAATGTATTAAAAAAATACATTATTTGTGCATCCATATATTCAAAAATTATCTGTCGAAATTATGAGAAAAAATTAACTTTGATTTTAAAATAATATTCTTGCGAATATATGACAGATATTGCCTGTTTTCACTCCAAAAAAATGTCTATAGTGTATCTAAATCTAATATGGGGATATATAATTTTATATGTGGCCCACGGAGTTATGATGCATTTCCAAAGTGGCCCGAAAGATCATTTGGGTTGGCCACCCCTGCACTAGATGAAGGCGAAATGTTAGATTCACGGCACGGCCTCCTTTACCTCCGGTCTCCATTGAATCCATTGTGCATCGTTCACATTGAAGTCTTTAAATCACAAGCTAAACTATGAAATTTTTTTAAAAGTCTGTTCTAACCTGAGAAAAATCACGAAGCGTCTCCATGACAACGTTCATTCGTTTAATGCTTTTTTGGGAAATAACAGCTGTTTCGAAGATGACCGTCTTCTGGGTTGTCTCACCGTGTAGTCTGGTAGAAGTTTGCCTACGTTTCGGAGGTCCTTCCTGCCTCCATCATCAGGGCGATGAGTAGCATACCGTGAAATTCCTACTTGGACAGAATTTATTAATGTATTTCGGAATTAATATTTAACTAAAATCCTACGATCGCTTCTGTCCAGCTGCGTGTCTGCCCTACAAATTTTCCACCCCTGCCATTCAACCGTCGTTCTGAATATATGATTCCGCATTTCTGTTTGTCGTGGTAGCACCTGAATTGAAACCTGGCTGTACACCACATTATGAGGTTTCGGATAGCTCGAGGCTTAGATGCTACCAACTAACTACAACGATAAAAAGAATCCAAACCATCCATCAGCTGAACAAGGAAACAAAGCAAAGCGGGGTCTTTTTTTCCCTGTTTGGCTCTAAACAGCCTCTTAACTCAGGACTCCCTAACAGCAAAGTGATCCAGGAATCAGCATACAATGCTGATATTCCATTCAACTGTCACTCCCGTGTTTCTTCGGTATTCAATACTTGACCGGTCGGCAAACCTGCGCTTTAGGCATAGCTCCTAGGGGTCAAATTGAATATCATTATGGCAGGGGAAATCTTTTGTTATAAAACTGTGTGAGGATGTTTCTCTCAGCCGTCGACTGTAATGGAGTACACTTATAAGAACACTTACGCAAAGCACCGAACCGTGGATTCGAATGCACGCAGATACTTCAACGCAGAAACCCCCACTTTAAAAGGATGTTTACGTAATTGGGCTGACGTTATGACAAGAAGAGAGTTCTTCTAGCGATGTACATACACAAAGCAACATAATTGGCTTGCAAATGGCTAATGCGAAACTACACGTCTCGTGATTCGTTTCGTATCATCCTGCTAATTCCGCATTTCTAAAACTTGTCAAAATCCGGATAAGAACGGGATTTTCTACGCTTCGGCTAGACTCCGAAACGTATTCATTCCTGTTAACTCACTGACTGGGTAACTAATTATGGTTTCCTGAAACGTCGGTTTACTACGGCGGATTGCCCGAGAAGATTTTACTGATTGTACTCGCCGCGTAAGTCTCAAATTCTATAACTAATTATAATTTTAAAAAAGTTAAGTTCATGGGCCGAATGAATGCGTTTGATTACGTCAGAGATTCCAAGTTGATTGCAGGCCGCGACTAAAACGCTAAAAATTCTGCGCCCGGGAAAACATTTCAAGAAATCTTCCTATCGGGCAAAATTTGGCGTTGAAGGTACCAACATTTATGTCGGCATAAAAATTTCTTGAGTGGGCAATAGCAAAATGGAAGCTGCCAATGCTACAAGTCACGTTGAGATAACATATAATGGATGGTAACCAAATCCATGGATTTGTGTTCTTGAAAAGCTGACAGTCGCTCGGCTACTCAAGAAATTCCCCGTGTTAACAACAGCCCGTCACCGGTCCCTGAGCCAGGCAAATCCAATCCACACCCTCCAACCCAAATTCCCTAAGATCCGTTTTAATATTATCATACCGGAATTTTAACCAGGACATGTTCGAATTTCTTGTATTAATCTGAGTTATTCTTTTCTTAATTTATATAATTGCGCAGTTTTGATCTCGGGATTCGGTCAGGGCGAGAGGATATGTTGCCATTTTAATCCCATCTCGTCCTCCGGTTAATCCCTGAGCAGGGGACCTGGTGCGCCTTAGAAGTTCCCTTCGTGTAGACATACGAGGTTCTATCCCTGTCTCTCCGGAATCGGAACTCTGTCGTTCGGGGTCTTACTCAGTCACCAAACTGACAAAGCTCACGCAATAAAATGGAGCTTTTGATGACAGACTTTTCAAAAGCATCCCTCCTCCGATACGGAACTGGATCCAACACAAGTACAATGCCTTTCCAAGGCAGAGACGTCAACCGAGGTGAAATATATTAAAATGAGACAGTGATACTATTCTAAGTAGAGAGAATAAAGGTATTTCGACTTCAACACCTTTGCTGTATGGTCGTTCTTAAGAGCGTAATTCACTTCCTGTCTAGCCGTGCTGTGAACTGGAGTGGGTTCTGTCCTTCTATGGATTGTGACATATAACAACAACAGCTTCCAGTTGACATCTCCATCCTCCGAGCAGACGTCACGGGGCACCTATTGTGTCAGCGCAGCGGGCCGAGAAATGGCCCCCCGTGGCGGGGGAGGGACCTTTGTCTGACGACCCCAGGAGCTTTTGGGCACGGCAACAGTCAGGTCACCGAATTCTGCTCATAAATCCGGATCTAAAGTAGCCATTCAAAATTGTTCAAGACTAACATGCACCCCTGTTTCCAAAACACGTGTTGTTAATCGCGTTATTAAATTATGTACTCAAGTACGTATTTATTTATTTGAACAAACGTTAAAGTAGAAGACGGGATAATTTGGGTGAATTACGCGATTCATCAGGCTTCATACAAGGAGCAATAATGCCAATGTATGAATACGCGGACAGCCGAGAGGGGGCGGTCCTTCAGCTTTGGCATTCGGTCGGTAATCTCAGCGTATAGATAAAAAAAATCTTACGAAATGTTACATGGCATCAAAAATTTATACCCTAAGTTACTACCTGCTGTTTTGTATGGATAAAAACAACACTACGAAGAAAAACACAGATTAAAGTGAAATACGTTTCATTCTTTAAAATTTTAATGGCGGAAAGCGTCAGAAAGAGTTCTGACGTTCATTACTGTGCGGATGGATTCATCGTACCGTAGGTGAGAAATCGGCCCTTATTAGTGCCTACAATCCGCTGTCTTTTTGTGAAATTAGCCGACTCTGACACTGAACCACACAAAGTCTCTGCTCATTCATGAGCTATTCAACGAAGCACAACTTTTTTGACGTCAAAAGACATTCTCGTGAATTAACAAAATGGATGATGTTATTTCAAGCTGTCGTGTTAACACTTGTTCCGAGAGACCAAAAATTACACTGCGAAGACAACCAGTCTCCGGGCAGGGTCCTCCTAAATACGAAGCAGGAGTACTAACCACTTGCCCGCGACAGCTACTTAAGACTTCTGAGAATGACGGATCGATTCTTGGTTGATTCTTTAACAACTCTTCTTCACAGGTGTAGCTATTTTATTGAAGAAATGTGTGTGGTCCGTAATGAGACACAATCGAACCATTTGCCTGGAGTGACTGAGGAAACCTACAGAATCGCTAAGTAATAATGTCCGTTCGATGGGCCGACACACGAACCTTGCAGTCCAGAATACGAAACAGGAATGCAAATTATTACTCAGGGACGTTTGTTTCTAAAGACGTCATGCAAATGAGACATACACACGAGGAAGGGTCTGTTAATATGGTCCATAGAAGGGATCAACCCTTCCTTCCTCCCTCGATAACAAATCTCATTGAACCCCCATCCATAGGCCAGAGGGTAAGCTCAACATAAGCGGATAGGGCCCACTGACTCCGTAATGAAATTCCCTTCCCTGTTTGAGGATGTTTTTTATTACTAAGGGATGGATGAAATATTGAGTAAGCACCTGACATCACGCAGCTGACGAATTGAATGTTTTTAAAATCTGCTTTACAACTTGCTCGGTCACGCTCTGTACTTTGCATACCCCACCCCGGAGGTTGTAGATTGCGTCTTGTTAAAGTGCTCGCCATGAATAATGAAGCTTACGATACGCGGGGCTTAAATAGACGTTTTGAAACTAGTATTAAGAAATTATTACGGCGGACGCTGGAGGGGGGGATGTGAGCCTAATTACAGCTTATTTCGGAGGCAAAATGCCCTTTTTCTCATTTCTGGTTGAAGTTATAAATCCATTACCCTGTTACTTTGAAAATAATTATATGTATAATTACCTCGTCTTTGTAAGGACAATTAAATTATTTTTGTATAACTTCGCTTGCTAGACTGTTAGTTTAGGTCTGTGTATATAAATGTGTATAACTGTGTCATGGTAAAACGTGTGGGGTGAGGTATACCAAGTTAACTACCTGTCAAGCAAGGAGACTGAAGTTATGCACGTCTGTACGACCAATTACCCAAAACGACGTTTTTTAAAGAATGTTTCTTGTCATTATTTCTTCGCGGGTGGAGTTCAGCGCGTAATTTAAGCTTTCAGGGATAGGCCGCGGGTAATGATGATTATCCAACGTTGCCATCTTCAGGGCGAGTGTGAAGAAGTCCGATCTTCAGCTCCACCAATCATTACCATAAAATCCCACTGTCTGCCCTAGTTTAGGTTTACAAAAACGCCCACCCCCTAAAAATTCACCCTGAAGATGGCATCTTGCAGTATCTATCCCCGAAAAAGAGCTACGCGTTTTGAAACTGGGGGTTAACTGAGAGCGAGGCTAAATTTCAGAATTCCTTAAAACTCACAAATCTCCAGTTACAACTAAGAAACAAATTTGCTACTTATAAGCGTATTTCTACTTTTCTTTGAAATGTCTTTGTGAAACTTAAAAACGCCGCTTTGAGCCGGCATGACACACACACATGGAGCCTCTCGCTGCAATCATGTGATCGGAATTAGAAGAGACTACAAAGACACGGATAAAATGCCTTTGGCTATGTGTGAGGTGTAAGGAAGGGACCTTAGTTACCAGCCAGCCAGCCGTTCATAATGGAAATGGAACCTCTT